GAACCAGTGTTACCACATTCTCTCCAGCATAGCGGCGATTTTTTTTTTTAATTGTGTGAAGCTTTAAATAAGTAAGGTACCATCTGATTAACAATTTGAAATTTTGTTGTTGAATATTTACTGATTTTGAACTGGAAGCGTATGAGGACCAAACCACTTCCCAAAAAGATTCTGGTAAGTCGAGTCCAAGATCATGGGACCATGATGGTACATATGATGGCAATTCAGTTGGAGAAGGGTCTATAAGTATTTTGTATACCTTTGAAATCATACCTTTCCCATTTCCCAAAGAGGTTAATAATAATTTTTCAAATTATGTGAAAGGTCTTAAATTGTTTTAATTTACGTGTAGCAAAAAGATGTTGAAGTTGGAAATATTCTAACCAAGGGAATGTAACGTTAGCTGAGGTATCCAATTTCAACTTTTATTTCAGGTGTTTCTTGTGGACTAGATCATGAAGTGTATTTAATTGAGCCTTTTTCCAAAGTTGGTAAGTATTCGGGATCTATGCTGCGGGAAACCAAGATTGTTCTATATATGTAGATGCCATGAAAATATCTGGGGCCAGATGGTTTCTTTTAAAATTCCAAGTCTTGAATAGCGCTTGCATTAACATATGGTTTGATATTAATTTAGAGCGTTCTGGGGTTTTATTCCAAATAGCTATTTGGTATCCTTTAGGATACAAAAAATGTTCTTCTAATGTTATCCATTCTGGCTTAGGGTCAGATCTCAAAATTCTTATTATAGTGGATAATATTGTTGCCTCAAAGTATTTTTTTAAATCCGGTATAGCCAGAACTCCATGTTTATTTATTAAAACAAATCCAGGGTTTGTGATAATTCCATATGAATCTATTCCAATTATTCTGCCAAAGAGTAAATTGGCAAGGTTGGATAGGCACTGGTAAAGCGCGAAAAAGGTATAAAAATCTAGGGAAAATGGATGATTTTATAGATAAAATTTATTCTAGCCATGATAGGTTTTCTCTATGCCACTGTTCTAACAAAATCTTAGTTTTGTCAACAGTATCAATATAATTGACTTTAAATAAAATTTGCAAATTAAGAGGGATTTTAATTCCTAAATATGACCAGTTATGTGTTACCCACTTGTAATTTTTTTTTGCTATAATGAAGTTTTTAGATGTTTCTGTAATATTTATTGGATATAAAACAGTCTTTGATTGATTGACATATAGTCCTGAAATTAATGCAAACTCTGTCAATTTGGATTCTATCTGTTTGAGTGATATTTGAGGATGGGAAACATAAAGGATGAAATCGTCTGCAAATAGACTAATTTTAAACTTAGTTTGATTAATAACTATCCCATAAATATGTTCTGCTTGTTTAATATGATTGGCTAATGGTTCAATGGTTAAGGCAAAGAGCAGGGGTGATAAAGGACACCCCTGACGGGTGCCTTTAGAGAGATTAAATTCTGTAGAAACTGAATTATTAATGGCAATTTGCGCTGTAGGAGAAGCATATAACAAATTGATGACTCTTTGAAAATTAGGTCCAAATCCCATCTCACTAATTACTAATTTCAAAAAAAATTGGTTCAACATACCGAGAGAGAACGGTGTCGTCATCTTCTAAAGTGTTGGCATCTGCCATTTTAGGAGCTTGCGTTGAATCGCGGTCTTTTGCAGAGGTCTCATTTTCTTTGGCGAAGAATTTTGTCATCTGGAGTGGAGCTGTAGATATTTTTTTTGCTCGTGTATTGGTGTTTTCCCCCATGGTGTTTGCGGTTGATATGGTCTTCGTAGAAGGAGATTAATGCATCTTGAAGTGGGTAGGGTGGAGGAGACGAGCTGTTATGCATCCGCCATTGATGCTCACGTAGCCACGCCCCCAGGTTTTTCCCATTGTTGACTTTAGCACCAGTTCTCTGGTAGATCGTTTTGTGAATTTTAGGTAAGTTTCCCCTGGGAGCTTATTTTTCTTTATGAAGTCTGGATAAGTCCTATAAGCCACATCCATCTCTTTTATTAAATCTTCTTGTTTGTAGTCCATTAATAAGACTAAGGCAACCGCCAAAATTTCTTTTAAATCCTCTCTGTAGGAGACCCCCAGCCTGGGGAGCTGAGGAGAGCCTCTTCCAAGGCGACAGCCAAGGAATTGAGGCTCACCTTCTTCCCTGAAAGGTACCCTTGCCGCGGAGCCAGTATGGCGCCCAGAGACGACTGCCGGAGCAAGCGATCATGATCAAACTTCTAATAATGCTTCCAAAAGATCTCCAAACTGTGAGTTAAGCAAAGCTCAGGTGAAAAAAGCGAACTGAACCTTGGTAGTAATTGGAAGCGCCTAAGTTTGAAGTGCTGGGGGAGAGGAATTCAAGCACGCCCCCCTTCTTTTGAGTAAACTTTAAAAATGGTTTTAAATCGGAAATAAAAAAGCTCGCCACCCAAACAGGGTCGGGGTGAAACATTCAGCTGGGCCTTCAGGGTATGGTGGTCCGACCATGGCACTGCCTTAGTAGTGGATCCAGTCCACTGTAACCAATGTTCCCTCTAAGCTGTGAAGTCTTGTGAGCAAAAATTCTACTTTGTGAGCTACTGGCATTAAAGTTGTGAGCCAGCGATTTGGCTACTGCATAAATAAGTTTGCTCTGGAGCCCTCCTTCCTGAGCTAAGACAAAAATCTGAGAGCTGGAGGCTAAAAAACTGTGAGCTAGCTCACACTAACTCAGCTTAGAGGGAACACTGACCCGCGAAGATCACCCCCCCCCCCCTCCCAGCCCAATGAGTGGGAACCGTTACATATTGGGAGTGTCCCAGCACCGCCATAGACAACACCAGGTCCGTCGCCTGTACGGAGGCTGCATCATCTGCATGGTCATTGAACTTACCCACGACTATCAGTCTATGGTGCTTCAATGCCCAGCTTGACACAGCCTCCATTAGGGATGACAGGCTAGTGGGTGGTACGTTGGGCGGATGGTACAGCACCCAGATAGCCAAACTCTAGCTGGCTTCCCACACTAGGTTGGCAGTGGGAGCATGCTGAGCTTCAGCAGCGGGAGCACTCTGAAGGAGTAAGCCTCCCAAATGAACAGGGCCACTCCACCCCCCACCCCCCCCCCTAGTCCGTGATTGGTGAAGGACCGAATACCCGGGTGGATCCAATTGGGAGAGAGCTACTGTCTCCCCGTCTTGACCCCAGGTTTCGGTCATGCACATACAGTACAACTGCCTGCAGTGGATATGCTTTAGCGCTGCTAAACTCTGAGAACCCTGATCTCTCCTACTCACACATCTATCACTTCCCTGACTATAGGTTCTTCAATCTACAACTAATCTCCTAATCTGATTGTTACTATATCTAATACACCTAGCCAGTAATTTCATAAAGGCTGGTGATTAATCACTACTCGATAATAATCAATATCGTTGCTTAGCAATCCATCAGTTTTACAAATCAACCTTATAAGTCTATAATCAGAATCAGTAATCAAATTCATATCAATCAGAGTATACCAATACTTCCTACTATAATCAGTTTTATAAAATCGTTGACCAGCCAAATTAATTAGTAGTTAATTAATTTGATCACATCAGCTATAATTCATTCAATTTGATATATCAATAATTGAATAATGAATTTAACTAGTCAGCTGATCAGTTTGGGTCCTCAGCTTAAGCCCCTAATTTAGCCAACTAAGAACAACCCTAACAATTTAGTCCTAACAATTTAAATCCCACCTGCTTTAAATTAGGGCTAATAATATTTTTTTTTTTACAATGGAACAGTCTGCTTCCCCCTTATATTTCTTGATTTAGTCTCATGGGGCGGAGTGTCTGTTCATTTAGTTCTGTTTGTTCATTAGAATGGTAGATTTCTGGAGCTCTCTTGTCCTGAAATCAGTTGCCCCCATCCCTGTATCTCCTTGCTAATAAATGCATCTTGTTTTGGAGTCACCTGTGGTTTGGCCAGTGTGTGACACTGCTGGACTGGATTGCCCATTGGCCTGATCCCATATGGCTTCTCTAATGTTCTTATGCCTGTCTCTGCTGTGTGGGCCTAAAAACAAGAACCTATTCCTGACTTGCAAGCAAAAGAGAACGTCACAGAAGCCTTGTATCAAATTCAGAAATGCCAAACACAGGCATCTGGGCAAACTGGAATTATCTGTTGGCAGAAGCTTATGGCAAGGATTTTTTTTTTTTTTTTTTGCACTGCTGTGACTACACAAAATACTATCTGAGGCTGTTAAAACTGTAGCTTCTGACAGCCCTCGATGCTGTCATGTATGGTTTCAGCAGTATCTAGGATCTAACAGAGGTGCTAGTGGGAGCCCTCAGCACCATAATGGAAAGAACAGTGGCAGCATAAGAGTACTCATGGCAAGGCAAACCCATTACAAACTGGCCTCATACTGGAAAGGTTGGACCCCAAATTCTGTTCTGCTGTCTAATGGCTTGTTTTATTAATGTGTTTTTTATACTGTAGTTTTTAACTGTAAGGCAGCTCAAGCAGAACTCTAAAGAGGGGGCATAGAAATATTTTAAATAAATAAATAACAAATACTGCTCAAATAATTTTGATCTCACATTCATGTTTATGCAACACACACATACACAGAACACAGTGTTTCAGGAACATAATTCTTTCAAGTATTGAACTGATACTATCGCCCAAGCCCTCAAGAACAAAAGCAATGCCTCACTTTCCATTCATTTTCAAGCTCCTTGAACAAGCGAGCTCTCTTATCATATCAGTTTTATTTATCTCCTATGATCTCTTCAGTATGGCTCTCATCCACTTTACTGAGACTATGCTTACTTAAGTTTGCTACCATCTCCTTGTCTCTAAACCCAAGGCTGTTTATTCTGCCCTCATTCTACTTGACTGCTCTGCTGCTTTTGATGCTGTCAAGGATCAATCATGCTCTTCAGTATTTACACTTTTTCAGTTCCAGGACCTCAGTTCTCAACTTTCTTTCTTTCTATTCCTTAGTGAGAAATGAGATGAGAGTATTTTTTCTACTCACCTTTTGGTGTGTGCTCTTCAAGCTCTGACTGTTTCAACAAGTCCTTGTACACATTAGGACCAGCGCACAGATCCTACAGTTGTGAACAACAAGAAGGGAAAGCCTCAAAAGCACATAAAGAATTATATGTGCACAGTAAATTTATCATACAAGGAGAAGAACCACCTACAACTATTTATTTATGCTATGAACAATTAGGCTATAAATAGGAGATCTAGAAATTTGCTTCTCAGTAGCCCATTTATACAGAATAAGATGTATGTAAAGTAGAACCCTGTGGTTTGTGCAATTCTCTGGGTATCTCTCACAAAAAATAATAATCAAAAATCAAAATCAAACTTACAGTCCCCATAGAAGAGAAAATGTCTTAAAACTTTACAATTATAGAGGTTCTGGAGAAACTCAATGAAATTAATGAGCAACAGGCTGAGAACAGATAAAAGGAAGTATTTCTTCACCAAAAAAGTAATTAACAGGTGGAATTCACTGCCGCAGTAAGTTGTGGCAGCTACAAGCATAGACAGCTTCAAGAGGGGATTGGATAACGATATGGAGCAGAGGTCCATCATTGGCTATTAACCACAATGTATAGATGGAACACACTATGTCTGGGGCAGTGATACTCTGTATTCTTGGTGCTGGGGGGGGGCAGCAGTGGGATGGCTTCTGGAGTTCTGGCCCTACTGGTGGACCTCCTGATGGTACCTGGGTTTTAGCCACTGTGTGACACAGAACGTTGGACTGGATGGACCATTGGCCTGATCCAACATGGCTTCTCTTATGTATACCATTTATCTTATTTTTATTTATGGAATGGTATACCATTCATTTTATTTTCTTGCCAATAGAAATCAGTATCTACGATTTTCCCCCATAAGCTTGAACATTCTTTCTCCATTCTAGAAACGATTAAAAGAACCTTTTAAACCCTCTCAAATTCCATACAATAAACTGAACCCATTGTTACAGCATATAGAGAGCCATTGTTTGTGCCAATAACTGCAGAGTGAAGCCACTGATAAAATCACCTGAGATGCTATAGGACAGGGATTGCTACCTTCATGAATATCATTCAGAGGCCAGCCCTCAAACTCCTAATTGTATTTGAGGCACTGAGTTCACAGTATGAAATATCTAACAAAATAACATTTACTTCTTGCTTCCCTATGACATGAAGAATAGGTTTTGGTAGAGGGCAGATGGATTGGGCAAGAAAACAAAGTAAGGCCCCGGTCACACGGGCAGGAAACTGCGGGGGGGGGGGAGCGTGGCTGTTTGCCCTGGGGCAAACTAACACGCAGTAAAGCGATCATACCTCTTGTGGAGGTTCTGTGGAGGTACCGTGGAGCTTCTGTGGTTACAGAGAGGCGTCGATCACAACACATGCCTGCGCGCAACGAAGAAGCGCGCGGCGCGGCGAACTAGTTTTCTTTTTTTGTGTTCACTACGAATGCGCATGCTCCGTTGGGTGCATGTGCGCAACCACGGGGACTTGGGGGAAAAAAAACCTTTTTCACAAGGGGACATGGGCGGGCGCCGGATGCCACCGGAAACGCGATCAGACGCCCGCCCTTGCCCCGCAGTTTCCGGAAACTAGTACCTCCGAGGTACTAGTTTTTTGCTGCGCGGTTTCGGGAGGAAGCCTCAGTTGTGCCACAGAAGTGCTACGCTCCCCAGATGTGCTGGTGAGATCGCGCCTGGAAACTCCGCCTGTCTTCCGTATCTCTTGCGTGGCTAATGTTGCGTGTGACCGCAGCCTAAGAGAATTTTTAAAGTATGTTTCTCGGTTTCTAATGCCAGTTTGTGACACTTATATGGGGAAGAAAAAATAAGGTTCTAATATACTTACCCCCAAGAGATCTGAGGCTCCAGGTGTAAGGACATCAGAGTAAAATCCTCGTTCTTTAATCACTGGGTATTTCTTATGCGCTGTTCTTTGAAGACTGTCTGGTGGAACTGAGCTAGGTCCTGGAGAGTCTGAAATCTGACTTATGGGATAAGGAGGATAGGGACTCCGCCCCAGTGTGTTTTTCAATTCCTTCTTGGCTTTATCCATTCTGATCTGTATATCACAGATAGAAGAAAGGCACCATGAGGTACTCCTTCACATCAAATGACAAAAATGAACTGCCATTAGTATTTCTGTATTGCCAAGAACCTCTAATTTTTGAACTGTTGATCAGAATAAGGGATTAAAAGGCATACATAGAAATCATGTTTAGGCTTTATCTACACAATGAAATGTTGGAGTCCAAGCCTGCTGAAAACCACTGTTTTGACACAAAATGTCTTTGCCTTGACAAATTCCAGATGCTTAGGGCTACTATTTGTAGTTACTCAGCAGATGTAGATGGCTATGAGTGCAGATGGCTACAAAAGAGGATTAGCCAGATTCTTGGAGGACAAGCTGATCAATGGCTACTAGCAATGGTGACTAAAGGTAACTTCCATATTAAAAAGGCAGCAAACTTCACAGTATCAATGATACAAGGCAGCATCAGGGAAAGGCCTTGGCCTTTATGCCCTGTTTGTTGGCACCCTCGAGCAACTGGATGGCCACTTTGTGAAACAGGATGCTGGACTAGATGGACCACTGGTCTGATCCAGCAGTGCACTTCTTATGTGTGTACATTTTTAAAGATGTTCTCTTCTTCAGAATCTGATTCCAACTCCTGAAAATGATTTCTGAAACAGACACTGGAACCTCAGGCACTGGTAAACTGCAATTTCACAAAATATCAATATCACTGGCCATATTAAATTAACTTGAAGATACGTCATACTCTCCTGGATAAGCACCAACCTGAAGGAAAGGTGATTTCTATTCAATTTTCCTGCATATGAGTACAGAACAGAAATAGCAACGGGTAGAAAGGATAAGAATCCTTAGGCATCAAACATAAGAAGCTATTAGATAAACAATTAGCCCAGTATCATCTACTACATCAGGTAGCAGATCTGTAAGGACTCATTCAGAGGTCTCACTGAGCCCTGCTATGTGAGAACCTTTTAATTCAAGATGCCAGGAACTAGAGTTGGTATCACATTAATACCTTTAAAAAAAAATTGTAAGCCACCTCGGGCAGGTCTGTGGAGAGCTGTCATAAATTTTTTCCAAATAAATTCAAAGCACATAATTTACCACTGATCTATGGTCACCTCCTCTATATTGCTTTAAACAGAAAATTCCAACATAAGCACATTAATATCCCACTTCAAGATTCCCAGGCTTGACTTCATTAGATCAAATTAAGTCTCATGGACCATCAATCCTTATTAGAAAGGGCTATTGCTTAGAGAGCAAATGTTTTGCAAACAACAGGTCCCAAGTGCAATCTTCACACAATATTGTGTACACTATGTGGACTTTCAGCAGACATGTTCTAGGAATTCCCAGCTGAGAACTGTATTCCCAGGCACACATGGACCCTATTCACACTGGAACTCCAGACACAGATTGAACCCAAAGTCCTCGTGCATGACTCATTGTGGTTTGTGCCCCCACCTTCGTTGTTATGTGTATTAACCTACTGAAGATCAACTCTGCCCTTCAAATCTTTGTGTCCACAAGAATCCTGCCATACCATTCATCCATTTAAGAACTGCCTTACAGAATCAGACCATGGCTCCATGTAGTCCCTCTGATTTAAAAGATAACGAGAGATATTTATTTTCACAGTATCTGTTCATCAAAATGGAATCAATGCTTGGCCACAAGCCATTAAAAATTATACCCAACAAAGTTCCAGATAGTAGGGATACACACATACACACACACACCCCATAGTAAAACAAACAAGACTCAAGTCTAGTAGCACTTTAAATACCAACAAGATTCCTCGGGGGTGTAAGCTTTTGAGAGGCAAAGCTCCCTTTGTCAGATACAGTATATGAGGAAGGGAGATTTGGCTCTCAAAAGCTTGTTCCTTAGGAATCCTGTTGGTCTTTTGGGTGCTCCTGGACTCAACTCTTGCTCTTCCACTGCAGACCAACGTGGCTACCCACCTGAACCTATACTAAAATGGAATCATTTTCAAAAATACACATCATTGCAATTTAAGGCAAAACTAGTATTTTTTCAGGTATAAACTGGTTACCACCATGTAAACCATAAAAACCACTAACTTAAAAAAAAATCCTTACGACAAAATAAATGCTAAAGTGTTTGCTTAGTGTTTAAAAACTCATTCACTGGCTATAGAAGGTTTTTTTTTTATTTAGTTGTCTGGTTTTTGCTTTTTTCTTATGGTGATTTTCATCTCACAAATTCTATTCAGCTGTCAGGTTAAATGCAAGTACAAGCAGTTATTATGAGCTTGGGTATCCAAGCTAGATAAAAATACTTATGTAAATGATGGTGTTAATTAAGTGCTGCCCTCAGCATTCTGGCAAGAGCCTAATGTAGCTTTTTTGTTGTGCAAAATTTAGCCCCCAAAGCTATTCTTTATGTGCCCAACTTGACCTCTCACAGCAAGATCTTTCCTGATTGGCTTCAGTTACCACACATGGATGGCTGTTATCATAGTGGGATGGCATCAGCGAATGAGGCTTGGTGATCAGTGACTGAGCAGATGCTATATTGTAATTATGAAGGTGAAATGGCAATAAAAACCAAGGCATGAGCAAAATCTACATACCTTAGGGGTCAGCCTAATCTGTTTTGTGCTGGCTCAGCCTTACAAATTTCCCTGAATAGCTGCCACATAATACTATCTATTTTCTCAGGGATTTTCTAGACAATTAAACAGTTTTCTCCCCCTTAAGTGCAAAGAAGATGGTTTTGATCCAGCAGAAAGTTGTGCTATGCGAGGGGTGGCCAAACTGCAGCTCACGAGCTGCATGCAGCTCACGAGCTGCATGCAGCTCTTGGAGCCCTCATCTGCGGCTCAGGAAGTTTGCCATCCCCTGCCCCCCCCCGGGTTTGAAAGCGGAGCTGCCATGCCCTGTCCCCACATAAACAGTCTCATCCAGGGCTATTTTTGGGCAGGAACACACAGGAACAAAGTTCCGGCTGGCTTCAGAGTTGGCCATGCCCACTACAGCCAAAACTTCTGTGTGCGTGGCTACAGGGGGAAGGCCTGGAGAGCGACCCCCCCCCGGCAACTCTGAGGTAGGTGGGCCAGGGGACCCCCTGGAAGGATCGGCAAGGTATTTAAATGCATCTTGTGCCTTCCCTGGCCTGTTCAAGGGCTGGCTTGCCGTGGGGCACCTGGGCAAGCCAAGGGAGGGCATGGGGGTGTGGCCTAATATGTTAATGGGCTGTGTTGTCAGGGGTGTGGCCTAATATGCTAATGATTTTGTGCTGTTGGGTGTGGCTTATTATGCTAATGAGTTCCTGCTGGGCTTTTTCTACGAAAAAAGCCCTGGTCTCATCAGTAAACTTTTTGTTTGGGAGGATAACAGCCTGCCATTTAGCCACTTCTCTGTAACACAAAGGGTAAAGTGTTAGAACCAAAGAGAGGGGTGCATGCTGCTTTCCCAGGATTAAAAAAATGGCACAAGGCTCATGAAATCTCAAAGCATTGTTGTAATAACAGCTTGCCTTAACAATCTTTACTGCTTTGTTTCCTTGGTAAAGGGTTGGATGTATTTCTGTAACAATATCCAACAGAGGAAAGTTTAACTCCTATAGAAACAAAATAAATACAGAAATTAAAATGAACAGGGAATTTTTAAAAAATTAAAAACCAGCTCACAAAGGTATGGAAGACAGAGAAGTGTCACCCTTTGGTTATAATCCAGGGTCTCCCAACAGGTTTCTGTGTTACCATGCCAGACTGCAAGTGGAGTATGAAAAACAGGTTGCTTACCTGTAACTGATGATCTTTGAGTAGTCATCTGTGCAGTCACACCCATGGGATTATGCGCCTGCGCTGATCCAAATCGGTGGTATGCAGAGCTCACAAAGGGATCTTCGTAACTTTCCTCCAGGCATGCGCGGGAACCCCACTGCGCATGCCCAAGGAGTAGGGGCACGGACATCCTGCCAGTTCCTTCTGACCGCTGTCATGTCAACAACCAGAGAAAAGTACTGAAGCGACAGCCATGGGGAAGGATGGGTGGGTGGTGTGACTGCACACCACTCGAAGATCATCAGTTACAGGTAAGCAACCTGTTTATCTTCTCCATGGTCTCTGCGCATCACACCCATGGGAGATTGAAAAGCAGTGGCTCACCTGGAGGTGGGAGCTGTCGCAATTCAATGCTCTGCCGACAAAAGGACTAGACGACCCAGGTCCACTCTGTGGCGTTCACAAACATCAACAGCATAATGCTTGATGAAGGTGTTCAGAGTAGACCATGTCGCAGCCCCACAGATCGCCGACAGGGAAGCACCCTTCAAGGCGGCTGTGGACGCAGCCATGGATCATGTAGAGTGCGCTCACACAGGCAAGAGCAATGGGCGCTTAGCCAACTGGTAGCACAGCTTAATAGTCTAGACAATCAATTTGGAGAGATGTTGTGCTCAAATCTTTAGCCCTGCGGAGTGACCGGAGTAGGAGACAAATACATGATTGTCCCTCCTACTTGGACGTGTCCTATTTAGGTAAAAAAGCAGCGCTCTTCTCCTGACCGAGGTGATGGCAATGAGAAAGGCAGTTTTCCATGCTGCATGCTTTAGCTCGTAAGTCGCCATAGGTTCAAAGGGCCGCCCCATGAGATGGCAGAGCACCAGCGGTAGATCTCACAAGGGTACTGGTGACCAGATTGGTGGATACAGGTGGAAGAGACCCTTCATAAACCTCTTAGAGACTGGGTGAGAGAAAATGGAAAAACCATCGAAGCCCGGATGGTAGGCCGAAATTGCTGACGAATGCACTCTGAGTGAGGAGTGTGAGAGTCCCTTCTCTGCCAGTGAGAGCAGAAAGTCTAAGACTTGGTCAATCCTGACAGAAGCCGGGAGGACGTCAGAGGGCTGAATGGAGGCTAAGAAGTGGGCCCATTTCCCACTGTAGGAACGTCGCGTAGAATCTTTCCTGGCATTGAGTAGGACAGTGTTGATTCTGTCAGAGAAAGTTAAGTGTGCCATCCTCTTAACCAAATCTCCATATGAAGAGAGATCCTCAGAAGGCGAGATCGGCAGGTTGTCCGATACCGTAGCCTTTGGGGAAGGACCCTCAGGTGACTCAGGACATTCTGAACCTTCAGTGTCCGTATCAGAGACATAGGATCTTGAAGGCGATGCCGGTGCCGCAGCGGTATCTGGTATCAAAAGAACTTTCGGTGGCAAAGCAGGGGTGTAACGGAGAGGGCGGATGACAAGGTTCCTCTGGGGCTTTGGAATGCGATGCAGAAGGCTTGGATTTACGGTGGGGAGAGCGTGAACGACGTGATCCACGGTCCCAGTCCGATTGTGGCCTAGGCATTAGCCATGGCATCGATGCCACCATTGGATAGAATGTAAACCAAGAAGGCATGTGCCCCCTACGATCCCACAGTACTGGTGAGTCAAAGTAGGTCAGAGAGTGCGGCCTTAATTCCCGTCTAGGCGAGTACATGAGCATGGGCCTGGAACGACAGTAATCTGGGCACTCCTCAGGTCAATATCGATACTCCTGGCCTCTGGGTGATCGGGATCAACAGTGTTCCGGCGCCGACCAATCACTCTCCCAGGAAATCACTGACTGGGAATGATGTCGACGAGGCCGATGCAGAACCATTTCCTCGACTTCAAACGGTGAGGCCGAAATTGGTCCGGAGTTGACAGAAGCCTTCGATATTGGGGGGGGGGGGTTCCCCAGGTGTTGGATTGGTGAGTCCAGTAACTCAACTGTAGGCAGCTCCAGTATTGGAGTATCAACAACGTCGGGTTGCACCCACTGGAGAAGGGGTAATGCAGAGTCTGAATGCACATTATCGCTGCTAACTTTCTGAGACTGACGCATAGTGCCGGTGAGAGAAGACTTAGCTTTCACGTGCTTATCTTTTTTTTTTCTTTTTGGCCGGCATAGAGGCGGATGAGGCCTTGTTCAACGCCAAGCACTTAGAAGACTGTCCCGCATCCAATGCCGACTTTGCACGGTGTGGGGGGTTCAGTACCAAGGTGACTCCCAATGTCGACTTGGTCGCCATCAATAGGGAGATTGCAGGAGTCTCGGCCGACATATTTCGCACAGGCACAGGGATCAATGCCAATTCCCAAAGCGCTATTCGAAGTCTCGCAGCCCTGTTCTTGCGAGTTTGGTTCGAGAACTTCGCACAATGGCGGCAAGCGTCTGGGCGATGAGTCTCCCCAAGGCAAATATTGCAAAGGGTGTGGCCATCACGAGGGGCAAGTTTACTGCCACAGCCAACACACGGTTTGAAACAGTCCCCTCTTTTGGCCATAAAAGAGTAAAATGGTCCAAAAGAAAAGAAAAGGCCCTTCACTGAGGTGAAGGAAATGTTTACCTCAGGTAGAGGGGGGGGGGGGAGAGAAAGGCAGGAAGCTGCCTGAGGCAGCAGCAACCGGCAACAAAAATTCCTTTTTTTTTTTAGTTAATAAAGAAGAAAAATAAAATAAACGAAGAAAAATACTGTTTGAGTATCCCTTGTGAGAGAAAAAACGCTTCTTCACCGACCGGCAAAAACAAGCTGTCAACAGCGTGGCGGTCAGAAAAGAACTGGCGGGATGTCTGTTGCCCCTCCTCCTTGGGCAGTGTGGTTCCCGTGCATGCCTGGAAGAGAGGCGCGAAGATCCCTTTGTGAGCTTTGCATACCACCAATTCGGATCAGCGCAGGGGCATAATTCCATGGGTGTGGTGCACAGAGACCACGAAGAAGATCTTTGTGTTTGCCTGTGTCCTTTATAAAGTTTATACCTCCGCTACCTGGCATTACATTTTATGATACACATGGCCCAGCTCAACAAGGTCTCATTTACGTCAAATCTGGCCCGCATAACAAATGAGTTCGACACCCCTGCTCTACAGTAAACAGGTAGCAAAAATGTATATTTTTAACTCAAACGCAGAAAGGGCTTAAAACTTTAATTTTGTGTATCATTGTTTCTCAAGCTTCTGACTTTTTTTCTGAAGTAAAATTAGGCCCATACAACACTTTTTCCACACAGAAAAAAATAGTGTTAACATTTTCAGCAGTAAGAATGTCCTGCATTCAGATGATCCAGTCTCTCATGTTTCTACATGTTACTCTTCTCTGATAATTCTGATACATGTCTGCATCAAGAGTGACCTGTTGATAGACATCCAGAGGGAATTACTGTTATAACTGATCCAAGACTAATACAAACATCCCTGTAAGGATAAACTTTAAAATGTAAAGAAAATGTATATTGATGCCATATCTGACTGAATAATGCTGACTTTCTGAATGTGGCATGAGGTTTGAATTACTACTTTTGATCTCCATGAGAAGTCAGTTCTGTAACCTAAAAACAACATTATCAATAGCCCCACCATTTGCTACTTCATCTCTGATCTAATCACATGTGAAAGAAATAGGGCAAGCCTACTTATATATTTCTGCATTATCCACTGCAGGCAGAATTTTGTGTTTGGCACTTGTAGTATCTAGAGGTCAATTGGGGAACAAAATTTTCATCCTAATGTACAGCTCCTAAAAAAAAAAAAAATACAGACTGAAAGTTTCTACATGATGACTTATTTATACACAGAACTAAAAAGGAAGCTAATGACCTTGCATTCCAATTAAAATATAGGAAAAATTGACCTGAACCATGAAGGAAGAACTATCTGAATCATACTGATCAGTAATTCCCACACCATATTAGTGTGCTGCAAGAGAACTTGTAACATGCCATACAAAATTAATGAAAAGGCTTGTATCCTATACCTTGTTTCCACATGTGCGCTTCTTCACTCATTGCAGAGATGGTTTTTCACCATGGAACACGTTCCCCTTGCACTAGGCACTTTTCAGCTCCTTGAAAGATATTGGTCTTGCACAAGTGAAAGTGCTTAGCAACCAGAAGCACACATGCTCTGCAGTAGAGGACCATCTCTACAACAGAGGAGCGCAAACAGAAACAAGGTTTGCGATCCAAGCCTTAAGGAGTATCATAGCAGGGACCAAAAAAGTCAAGGATTTTATTTTCAAAGAGAAGAACAAGCTGACATAACAAGTAAATCTGGAAAAGCACTCCTGGCCACAGCTACCATGTTAGCTTCATGCAGTAAGGCTGGAGCTGGAGCACCCAAGCGTAAATGAGATCCCATCCCACTAATTTCCGTGATCAAGTAACCCATGTGGTCAAGTGACAGTGCAGTTTTATTACTGTTTCAACCCACTGCTGATTCCAAGACATCATCTAGCTAGCATTTAAGGAAAAGAGTGTCATTAGCATACTGGTGACAATAGACTCGAAATGCTTACATAACTTCTGTCAATATTTTTATACAGATATTAAATAGTACAAAAAACAGAATTAGGGGCATCTCACAGGATAGATCCAATGGGGTAGACCAAGAATATTCCCCCACGACCATCTGGAACTAACAGGTAGGAGATAAACCACTGCAAAGAAATGGCCCCAATACCCAAGTTTACCACGCTAAAGTGATGTGGAAGGACATCATAGTAAGCAGTATTAAAAGCCACAAAAAATTTGAGAGAATCAAGAGACAGTGCTGGTTCAGTACAGGTTACCACTGAGGCCAACCATCACTCATATTGTTGCTGCTGAACCCTCCTCATCTACTGCCTGTGCTTAGGGAGTCATGGCAATTAATGCTCTTTGCCTTCTCCCACACCCTCATCTTTAAGAGCAAATCATGCATACCCAGAATATATAGAGCTTTCGAACTCCCATAGGATTCCCTCTACTCATGAGAGGCCAGCCACAATTTCCCTTGCTCTGGCTCCCACACAGATGTGGGAATACAAGGCAGCAAAGAGAGCAGTGAAGGAGATGGGCAGGAAGGAGACTGCTCTCCTAAAAAAATCTGCTGCCTAAGGCAACTGCCTCAGTTGGCCTCATTGTAGAGCCAGCCCTGTTTAGGAACACACATCCCAGACTATCTCACAGCAAATGTCCAAAGTGGTTTCCCTTCCTAAGTCAGGTCTGAAGATCAACAGAAATGCATCTAGATAATCAGTTTCATTGTACTTAAAAAATAATAATAATCATAGAACTAATTCATTACCACCGTGAGAAAAAATGTGCCAGTACTATCAGAAGTCTGGAAAACTTACAGTATGGGGAAGTTCATAACATAGCATGAGCAGTGGGAGAAGCATTACAAAATGGTTCCAGGACTCCTTCAATAGTTGCAGACTTCCTAAAAACACAATTCTAGTTGGGGCTTTTCAATATGTTGTGAGGCTGAAGTTGGTTCCCAGGTCCTTATTCATTCCTTATTGCAACTTATTCATGAACTCAATCAAAAACACTGAGGGGGGTTTGAAAGCTCTGAACCCCAAAATAAGGTTTGGACCACCATATATCATACACCCCCACATTCAGGGGACCCTCTCCTTTAAGAGGACATGTGCTGTTTCCTGGCCCAAAGAGCAGGTCTTTGCCAGACACTCCAAAGTGGGGTGTCTCAGGACAATCACAGAGGTGGACACTGGGGCCAAGCTTGCACCTCAAAACAATCTTTGGACCACCCCAAGTGAAACATCCCCACACTCCAGAGACTGTCCCCTACAACAGGACATACAGTCATGCCCAGTCCAAACACTGATTCTGGTGCCACAAGCTTCTGTTTGGGTTGCCCCCCAAGAAGCCTGTATTCCATAGGCGATTAGAATAAGGAACTGGAACGACTCCATGCCCTCTGCACCCCAAAATAAGGTTTGGATCACCATAAATCATACACACCCAGATTCAGCGGACTCTCCCCTTTGAAGTGACATGTGCTGTTTCCTGGTCCAAAGAGAGTTTGGTTCCAGCCGCTCCAAAGGCAGACACTGGGGCCAGGCTACACCCCAAAACAATCTTTGAACCACCCCAAGTGACACACCTCCACACTCTGGAGACTGTCCCCTGCAAGAGGACATACAGTGGTGCCCAGTCCAAACAATGGTTCCAGCACCAACAGCTTCTATTTGGGTTGCCCACAAGAGGCCTGTATTTCAAAGGAGATTTTAATAAGGAACTGGTATGACCCCATGGCCTCTGCACCCCAAAATAAGTTTTGAACTACCATACGTCATACACCCTCAGGTTCAGGGGACTCTCCCCTTCAAGAGAATATATGCTGTTTCCTTGTCCAAAGCGCGGTTCTTGTTAGCTGCTCCAAAGTGGGGTGACCCCAGGACAATCACACAGGCAGACACTGGGGCTATGATGCACCCTAAAACACTCTTTGGAGCACCCACAATGACACATCCTCACACTCTGGAGACTGTCTCCTGCAAGAAGACATACAGTGGTGCTTCTCTTCAGAGTACCACCAAGAGGCCTATATTTCAAATGAGATTTGAATAAGGAACTGGTAAGACTGCAGGCCCTTTGCATCCCAAAATAAGGTTTGGATCCCCATGTGTCACACACCCTAATGTTCAGGGGACTCTCCCCTTCATGGGGATATATGCTGTTTCCTTGTCCAAAGTCTTGTTCTTGTACTAATTTCTATAAAGTGGGGTACCCTGAGGACCAATATGTTTGAAATGGTGTGTGGTCCCAAAATGGTTTCTCATACTAAAATGTCGTAGTATAACCACTGAGGTCACAGTTTCTTTTGCCTTAGGTCCAGACTGTCAATCATAATTGTGTTGTGAAGTATTGTTCTACACAAAACCATCTGCCACTTGGAAAGTTATTTATTTTTTTAACATTTGTGACATTCTCACTAATGTGGCTAAAATTGTGAACAAGACAGTATAAAATGTTTAAAGTCAATTCATCTAGCACATATTTTACTGTGTTATCTGTAGACTTATTGTTCCCAATCATAACTGTCCTTCTTATTGGCCAGTGCCTGCTCTGTTGGTGGCTCCTATTGTAGCAGTAGATTTCTGTGTGTCATTTGGGGTGGTCCAAACATTCCTTTGGGTGCAGCCTGATACTAGTGTCTGCCTGTGTGATTGTCCTGAGGGCACCTGGCTTTGGAGCAGCTGGTACAAGAAATGGGCTTTGGAAACACCATATGTCCCTTTGACACCATATGTCCCTTCGAAGGGGAGTCTCATACACCCCT